TTATAAGGCCTCCTTGGTAAGGAAACCTCCCCGATATGGGACTTGTTACATTACAATTGTAACAAGCATAAGGCTAAGGAGGGGAACCATCCCTCAAAAGCCGGCCCAAGAGGTTGGAGAACCTCCCGCCTTATAAGGCCTCCCTGGTAAGGAGATCTCCCCGATGTGGGACTTGTTACATTACCACCCCCTTCGAAAGTCAACGTCCTCGATGGCTGCACTCCACGGTACTTCACTCGGTCTTTGCCGGTCAGAACCCTCCGGTGGTCAGAACCCTCCGTGGGTAGCCCTTCTCGAGTTGGCTAGCTCTCAATGAAAGCATCATTGTAACGAGCATAAGACTAAGGAGGGGAACCATCCCTCAAAAGCCGGCCCAAGAGGTTGGAGAACCTCCCGCCTTATAAGGCCTCCCTGGTAAGGAGACCTCCCCGATGTGGGACTTGTTACAACTGCTATATTGCCAATCAATAGAATAGTGTAGATATAGATGTGCTTATCCAATTTACACACTCCACTAATCTTTTTCTACGTCATTATTTATACAGCTAATGAAGAAAATTACTTTATTTGGTGTGTATATTTTGTAAACAATTTTATTTTTAAAATTATCTCTCATATTACTCTTTTTCTTTTTCCATTCATTTGTATTTAATTCTTTTTTTCCTCTTTATAACTATTGAGAAAAACTACCAAAAAATCACTTACTACTCAAAGTTAATCACTCACTTTTTATTTTATTTTTTAAAAAATACACGGAACTGCATAGTGTTTTTTATACATCCGTATTAATAATGTTGATTATATACACGTTTGGGTAATTATTATCCAGAATAGCAAACTATTTTTGGGCACACACACAAAGTTATTCTTCTTAATTCAAGAAATTTAAATAAAAAAAAAAAAAAAAAACTGAAAGAACGGTTCTCCTTCTTGGTTAGACAATAGACAACTCTAGCTTAAATAGTCATTTTATTTTCTTATTATGTGGGTATTTTCTCTGACAACAAAACAAAATATTAAATCACTGTGCAAATCCATGCCTAAATGTGTGAATCAAAAGAAAAAAGAAGAGGAAAAGGAAGAAACTCATCATTACAATGGAAATTTGGACACAAAAGGACAATCTAATTGAGGGCCCTTTACCCCACAAAACATATGCATCACATATAAATCAGAGGCTTTTTGGTTTTATGAATAAAATACCAATTCTGAGAATGATAGACTACTTTAAACAAAGCCTCCATCTTGAACCCAATATGTCTGTGCAAAACTTCTTTACTATTTTGCCATTTTCATCCTTATGATGGGGTGCATTATTTTGGGAGCATTTACTTGATAACAATATTAAACCCACAATAATGCTTTTTGTTACTCGTATATAGAAAAGTTTCCAATGCATGTGTAACATAATAATAGAAAATAAACCCTCTTTTTTTGCCGCTAATCACTCCACATGGCATCCATCAAACTCAAATGCCTCAAACTAATTGTCTGTATATCGTTTGATTAAAGTTGGAGATTCTAGACGATTTTCTCAGCACCTATAGATGGCCCTTTAGGCAATGCCTCAAATGACCATGATTGCGCATTTCTTGGGCAATTTGGTTACACTTGAGGAAGATTTGGTTTGTCATGGAGCAAATTAAGATTCTTAGTCCTCAAACCACCAATTCGTACCTATAATTATTAGTCCATAAACCACTATAGTCTGGCTCACAGTGAAAGATTATAATAGTAAGTACTAAGTACACATATAATCTTGAATTTAAATTTTATTGTTATCATTTTAATTTTTACTGCAAAAATTGCTGACCCTTGATGATTGAGAGGGGATAAATACATACATATATGTATAGAGTGAATAAATCCCAATGGAGAATGTAAAGTTTGGCATGTTATGTTACTAAAGCAATACAAAGAGGGGCAAGGAGAATACCATGAGGAAGATATCTAGGGATACCTTCCTAGGGATTTATAAATTATTCCAATAATAACTATTAGGGTAGCCATTATTTTATGTGTGCAAGAGCCACATTACTTGGTGCTTGCCTTGAAAATGCAAAAGAGAGGGAGGGGGGAAAGGAGTGAATGAATGATAAAATAAACAAAGGAGTAAGAGGGAGTATACATGTATTTCAGTTTTGTATTCAAATTGCATGAAAATCATCGGTGAAATTGGTTTTTGAAAGTTGAAAGGATAGGGAAAAGAAAAGATGATCTTTGCTTTTGGTCCTGCCCCTTTTCCTTTTTGGTGATAAAGTGGAGGGAGACTGATGAAGATGTACTTGAAAGAATTTACAATAAAGTTTCCACATGGAGAAATGTACAGCAAATCAACCCACAAGAACCCTTCGGCTAAAATTAAGCTTCACACAGCTTCTTGTCTTGAGAGTAGTGTTCCTCGTGAATTTTGCAGCATACACAAATACAATATGCATTAAATACTGTTTTTTCTACAATTTAGAATTATATATATAGATATAACCTTTTTTTGTGTACAAAGAAAGCAACAAAATTTGAACTTGTAACTATATACATATTATTTTAATTCCTACTAGTGGGCCAACTCTAGTGAATAATATGTATAACTATTCACAACAACAACAAAAATTGCATTTATAATTTAATTTGCATAATGATTAAGAGAAAGTGTAATTGGATTAGCAAAAAAACCAAGATAATTTGCGACTTCAGTGTATCTTTTTTTACTTTCTTCCTAAGCATGATATATATATATACGACCCGGGTAAGTGAAGAAAACCAAAGATAAAGCAACATGTATAAATGGGAAGAACTTTCTTCATTTATGAAATGTTTGCTATCCTTTAGTAAATCCTTGTTCAAAGTATGTCTATCACTTTTCCTTCCTCTCGCGCCTCTGTTTTTTTTTTTGGTCCCACGCTATTTTTGTTTTGTAAACCAGCAAGATAAAATAGCTATTTTGTTTTGTTTGATACATGATGTTATACATCTATGCTTTTATGGATTAAGCAATCGGGCACTAAGTCCAACAAGCAAAGTCATTGATCCGAATTCGTGGGTTGGGATGGGCCAATTCAGATTGTGGTCCAAATTCCCAGAAACATTGAGACATATCAAGAATTTGGAGCCAAAAAATGGGGAGAATTTAAAAAATTATCATTTTCTAATTGAAAAATTAGTTTTGTCTCAATAATTCACATAAGAAAGATTTGCATTAAATATTAGCATGGATAAACAAGTTAAAACTCCAATTTTGATCCAAAAATATCACTAAAAAAACCCAAAAAGAGCTAGATTCAAGAATGAGTTGATCCGTATAGCCTATTGGGCTTAAAACTAGATTGTTTGAGTTAATAATATAGTTTACTTGGTAAGGTTGACAAGTTTGAGTATCAACCATGGATTATGATTTGTAAAATGTATAGAATTAGTTAAGTTAGATGTTTTCCGAGAAAGTTTGTTTCAACATCATATCATTAGTCAAGGTAAAAGATTACAGCGAAAGTATCTTGTATAAAAGATTACAGCGAATGAGATTTGTACAAAAAGAATGTACGATAAAAGTTACTTCCTTCAGTCTGTTTTTTTTAAGACTCAATTAATTAAATTATAGAAATTATTTTGTTTAATTAATATTTAATTTATCCTAATTTTTTTTTAAATCACCCCTAACATTAATGAGTCATGCTCATATTCTTTTTTAAAATATTTTTATTGGTTATACATGTAAAGAGTAAAGTAGGCACGGCAATCTAACCCGTCTCCGTGGGTACCCGTCTGAACCCGCCCCGATTTGGATGGGGAAAATCCGTGTTTATCGGGTTCGAGTTTTCCCCGTTTGATAAAATCGGGGGTGGGGACGGGGATGTTAATACCCACCCCGCCCCCGCCCCATACCCGCCCCCGTTCCCGCCCCGCTTAATAATATAATTAAAAAATTATTTATATATATATATAAACCAAAATTATAAATATTTATATGTAAAAATTTATATTATTTTACTTTTCTTTTATTTTTTTTAAAACGGGGCAGGGAAACCCGAACCCTGCCGGGGGCGAGGATGGGGACCTAGATTTTACCTCCGGCGGGGATCGGGGGCGGGGGCGGGGAACGTAAAACCCGTCCCAGCCCCGCCACATTGCCATGCCTAGAGTAAAGGTTGCCAAAATGCTTTTCTTACAAGAAAAATTAGACTCCAGAAATGCCCCAGACAATAATGTACTTCTACTATTTATTGAACGGGATAAATAACTTGTAATTACAGATATTTTGTAAACAAAATAATAATACAGGAGACAATTTAGAGTGATTCTCTTAAAAAGAACCAAGTAAAACCTTCAACATTATCACATTTCATTAAAATATTTGACGTATTTTATTGTTTCAAAAAAGTGATACTCAGTGACAACATTTAGTTCAAGAAGCTATTTCACACAATGGTTGTGCAAATCCTCAGAAAATTATCATGCTATACTCATCGCTCACATTTACGCTATATGGTAGGGTTGCAATTTGTGCACATGCTTAACAAAATTTGCCCAATTATCCTTCCTGATTAGCTCGGTTCATAATACAAGCTGTACTTAAACAAAGGTCTTTATGAAATAGCCTTGCTATAATTGAATTCAAAGAGCATGAGAAAGTTTCAATGAATTTTTAAAACTACCACTTGTTTCAATTGGATGCAAACTATTGTGTGCTAACACTATCTTGCCCCTGTACGATGGAGCAGAATCTCATTTTCTTTTTTCTTATTCCTCACAAATATCTTCCTTAAAACAGCCCTGCTAAAAAAGGTTAAATATTAATAAATATAAGAATTTCTCCGAGTATTGATACGAACCATGATTCATAAGCCACTAAACCCACCCTTCCATTAAAACCAAAGCCCATTAATTGTATAAAATTTCATTTGCAAAGTGAGCAAAGCTACTCACCATGATTATTTCCAGTCTGATAATTAGCATATCCACTTGAAGTAGAATGCTTAATTGCTAAACCAAGGAACAATCTATTCTTCGGAAGGGAAACTCAGATATATTTAATGAATGTTGGTATCGTCCTACGGCATTTTCATTATTCTACCTGATCTGCCTTTGGCAAATCTGCCAAATGGTCCATTTCTGGGACACTTGGTATACTTTCACACTCACCGTTCTTCCTACAATGTACCAATCTAGCAACAGCATTAACTTTCTTAACAACTAGTGGAAGTAGCTCAGTTGCTTCGTCTAAAAATTGAGCTCCAGCTCCAGTTGCAACCTCTTCCCCTTGAACCTTTTTTAATTTTAAAAGTAACTGCAGCACTCTCTCAGCTGCTGCATCCAGGCTACCAAATGCTTCCTTGCATGCCGCTATGGTTTCTCCCAGTTTACTCCCTTTATCAACTGAATTGTCTTTGACTGGGGTTTTGCTTACTTCACATGTTGAATCTGCTGAGCAAGGTTCTGAATTCTTCATGTCCTACAATAGGCATTTAGAGCAGAAAAATATTTGAGTCAAGTCATTCATGGTGTTACTTTTCATAATATATTAACAGGCTTTTCAAATTCCATTATGAAGTTTTAAAACAGAAAAGTTAAGGAGTCAGAATGCATAAACTATATTAAGGAAACAGATTTGATGTACTAGTGCTAATGTTAGTATTTTCATTATACAACTTAAAAAGCCTTAATGAAACACCCTCATAAATTGTATTTGTTCAGAAGAATTTCTAACTCCCTCAATTTCCTTCACCTGCAACGATCTGTCTTGCGATATAATATTAGTTGCACCTTCATCTTCAGAGCTCTTTTTACCAGTCGTATTCCCAACAGGACTGCTAAACAATTTCTTGCAATCAGCTGGGTAATCCCATTTCACAATATATCTTGCAGAAAACCTTCTAACTAATGAATTCCTCGACTCTATCTGCACAGATAAGATAACAAACAGGGTAAGAAAAAAAAAACAAAATTACAAGCTCAAGAAAACCTCAGCAACTGTAGCCTAAATCAATTATAAGACATCTTACTCCTGTAAGTTTTGGAGGAATTCCACCTCACCTAGGCATATCTTCATATCCAAATATTGTCACATTTTGTATTTTTATTTTTGCAAGAAATTAATTTTTACTGCTTTAATAATTAACCTTCCTTAAATCCATAATCCAAGATATTTAGTAGAATACCAATCTCTTTTCATTTTTTTTTTTGTTCAATGTGATTTACAAACAAAAACCTCAAAATAATTAGAACCTGTGGGTTGCCTAATTTATTGGAAGAAAAAAAAATCAAAATTCATATCGATATTCATTATCTACGGCCCTTTTCAATGATTTTCCCAATAAGATAATGAATAACATGTTCAGAACTGACAGGCCTTCATCTGATCCATTGGTTGAGGACATTTAAAATACTGTTCTAGTGGTACATTTTTTAAGAAAAAGTATTTTTTTAATATTGAATAAAATTAACATCGTGAAGTAGCTATATTGCCAAAATTATATTCTGAATTTCATTATAGTAAGCTTACAACGAATTTCCCTAGAAAAGTAGGACAAACAAAACCACGAGACTAATGCAAAGTTGTACAAACAAGACTTGCTCAGTTTTAAATTCCTTCTGCACCCTTCTAAGCATTAACCTAGTGTTACATATTAGTCAATGCATGCAAGACTAACCTTACGCGTATTTGATAGGCTACCAAAATGTTGCCTAAACATGTCACTGTCTTCTTCACATAGCGGATTTCCTTCCGTAGTTATTTTTGACACACTTCCAGATTCGTTTAAAAGTAACTGCTCTTCTTTACTCTGGAAAACTTCAGAACCATTATTGTTGCAATCAACATGTTCGTCTGAATCTGAAACAAGACCCATCTTTTCATTCTTGCCAAGGATACCAAGACCAAAGGAACTCTGGTCCTCATTAATCACTGCCCTACACTGTCCTGCAATAAGCCGGTATTTGTAAGGTTAGAGCATATTTTTATACATATTTTTTTATATGTTCATGCCATGGGTTTATTTTTGTTGAAATTATTATGGGGTTTTAGGTATCGAAAGAAGAGACTTTGAATGATATTTAATTTATTGTGATGGATTAAAATGTGGTGATATGATCATAAAACCCAAAGAACTAACCCTTATTTATACTAATCATATCCTAGCAAAATAAAGTAAACAAATCATAAGATATTAGAAAATACAGAAATTAAGAAAACAGGAAACTAGTACTAAGACAATCTCTGAGATAGCCCCGAGATACAATCTAGGTGTTATTGGATGATATAAATAATTCTAAGATACTCTAAAGACACAATCAATATATTATTGGATATTGTCATATATTCTAGCAATTCAGAGTATTTTATTTAGTACAGAAACTGGAATACACCATCCAAGGGGCCAATGAACCTAATGATGTAATACATATTTCTTTTATCAAAAAATTGAACTATATTGACATTTAAAAGGGACGGTGATTTTCAAACAACCACATACTATTTCTAATCAGAAGAAAAGGGTCATACATAAGTGATTGTATCTGCCTTTATTACCTGGCTTTATCAGAAAAGTTTTCAGAATAGTTATCACAAGTATGAAAAGGGTAAAGTCCCAAGTGACATTATGATTCGTAGAAACATTCCTTTCAGGAGATTGATACGTATAAACATATTCAATTGATAAATCACCACGTAATATTGCTACACATCAAATAGAAAATGTGTTACATAGCCCAATAACAGCATTATAAAAACAAATGATTTATTACAGTTTAACTGACAACACAAAGCAAACTCCTAAACATTGTGTTGTGTTTCGCTGATTCAGAGACAAGCAGCCACTTAATTTTACACGTTGTCTAGCTGCTAAATATGCAAATTGGACAGTGTGGCTTTGAAAAATAGTTGTCTACCATTTTAGCAGATCTGGAAGGAGTATAGAAGGAAAATACTAATCTTCAAAAATATTTTTTTCTCGTTTCTTGAGTTTCTCTCATCCTCTGCTCTTGTAATTCCCTGTTTCTTTCTTGTAAATTTTTCATTTAAGAAGAAAAATTAAAAAAGAAACAATAACATATTTATGCCATGCAGAAATACAAGGTAAATAACTAAATATATCATTTATGTACAAGTTTTTAATATATACACACTTGCTGGTCCAATGTTTTAAAAACCAATCCACAGATTGAACCAGCAAGACCACCAAGACACAGTTTAATTGGTTCCACCAGATATATTTGCAATTCAACTGCAATTAAACCATGGTTGAACCAGAGACAAAGTTAATTCATGGTCCAATCTGTTCAAGCAGACAGACTATCAGGTTTTCAAAATATTACGCCAGCCACTTTGCTTGCAATACCAGATGTCAATTACATAGGTGTATTCAAAACTACACACAGGAAACTCTGGCGTATAGCCTGAAGATTTCTGTTAGTTACACTATCCAAAATCATATTCTTCAAACCAAACTTGAAAGAAACTTAGTTGACAGATTTGGTCTTCTGTTCTACTTCTATCATCAATAAATATGAAAATTGAGAGAAATATGATGTGAGCATAAGGGTTCAACTTACTCATACTCAAGGGAGTCTCTGGAAACTTTGTCTTACATAAATTTTGCATCTCTGGGGTGGAAAGTGCTTCCATACAAACAGTGTAAACAGAGTGCCAATGGTTGTTCAATGGAATGTTGCTGAAAATGACTTCATGAGCAAAGAACTGATATGCCACCACCAGAAGTTTATGATTCAGATATGAGATTCAACACTTACCTATAAGATCCTCCAAATCTTGTAGAATCTTGAGAGCTGAATGTCTCAGGCAAAGGAGAAGCATGGTCAGATGGAATTTGAACTTCTGGGGATGAAGGAGCATATGCCTGATCATCATCAATGCAAGAGATATTAGAGTTTACTTCTGAGACAAAATCCTAACACCATATGTCATAATTAAGGGGCTAAGAGATTTGTGTTGTATCACCTATATTATAGATACCAGTACAATATAGACTCCAATTTTTTGAAACCTTGACACTCTAACAGGATAAGCTTCAACAAGAGTTAGCTGGGCTTTCATGCAATGATATCATGATAACCATGGATCCTCAGCCAAAGAAGTTGGCCATAAATGTGGCTTTGGGCATAACTAATATCTTGTTACACCAGAATGAGAACAATAACCATCAGATGCAGATGCAGAGTTTGTAAACACTCTAATACTAGAAACTTCAATCACCAGGCATGGTTTGACAGTAACTCGATTGCGAATGACAAGGAACCAGGTAAAATAGCTTAGCCCAATTTCATTATAAGAAGGAATTAGTTTTCTCTTGCACATTTCAAAATTGAAATGTCAACTAAACACCCGTTTCCACCAAAATAATTAACTTGCACTCATCAATGATACAGATTGATAGGGACTTAAGTCCCTATCAGAGATATATCTGTTCCAGAATATAATACATATTGTTCTATTCAAGCATGGATCTCTAAATTCCAAAACGGTTTCCAATAAGATATAAACAAGCTTCTGATTTTCCAAAATACCACAGTGGGTAGGGGGACTCAGCCGCTCAGGGTATTAAAATACAATGAAGTTTCTAAGACAGAATAAAAGGACATTTGAGAGTTTACATACCTCTGAATCTGATGAAGTGCAATTAAAATTCTTGCAGATGTTGTTGGAATTGATCACTTTTGTTCGTGCCCATTTGGGAAGTCTTGAAACACTAAATTTAAAAGAAGAAGCCTCTCTACGACAGCTTTCAGGATAAATCATTCCATTTCTACTTTGGCTCTTACTCCTCATTGAACAAACATCCTCAGGATTTATCTTGGAATGCTGGCATTCTTCTTTGCAAAATGATAGATGATTGTAAGCGAGAGGTTGAACAGAACTTCTTGGAGACAATGGATTATATTTTTCCATTATTCTCTCCAATATTCTAGAAGACAATGGAGCAGGCAATTTCCATACAAAAACACAACCATTACCGTCCACCTGAATATGGATATGTTAAATAAAAAGATATGTTCATGACAAGAGAGATGCCAACATCTGTCTTTTTTATCATTATCACAAAAGTAAAACCTACTTGGGCCATGTTTGGTATAATAGTTGAAAGCTAGCTGAAAAACTATGAAACACCAGCACTTTCATCTGAAAGTCGTTAGACTAACTGAATTAGAATTATTAGGTAAAATTAGTTGTTGAACTAGCTGATGAATATAAGATGACATAAAAGGTTATGTTTATATTTATCTTTTAATCAGTATCAATATAAATAGATAATAGTGTATTAAAAAAATGTTAAAGAGTGTGTTAGTAACATTCCAAGAGAGTTGGGCCCTTGTGTTTTTGTTTAAATCATGCTTTCTTCTCACTTGTGTGCAGACAATTAAGTTTAAATGACCAAAGCAAAACTGCAAAAGATAAATTGACGAAGCATCTTAAAAACCATTTTCATGAGAAACGAATGAATCACTTAAATGATAAGATTTTGAATAAATTAAGTCAATGATTACAACAATGCAATTGTTATTTGTGATGATATTGACTTTAATCAGCTTATGTGATTCATCATTTATGGCTTTTGGGACTTGTTATGTTACCTTAGCTCATTTAGACTTATCATTATATTAGAGTTATGTTACAGCAGTCATTATTGGTTTATTTGAAACTTATGTACGTCCTTGTATTGCCCTTTTTTGTTTACCTGAGGCTTAAGCCAATTTCAATTAAAACTTGTTAAAAGTAATGAATTTCGAATTTTGTATTTCAATATCTATTATAGAATGTGAATTTTTCTTTGTAATGTATGTAGGACCCGTACAAGTTCAACCTAACTAACCCAGGCATACAAGGGTTGAGTTCGATTGTGTTGGAGGAAAAAAATCTAATCCAACCAGTCTCATGAACATGCCTAATTTTTTTCTTTAATTGTATTTAGCTCATATTTGGAAATTTGAAGAGGCTCATTTCAGAAAAATCATAGAAAATCAATGCCTAAAGTTTGTCCTCCCCATGCCATTTGATACACAAGCAAGACCATTTTAGTCATGCGCAATACAAACTGACATTCTTGTGCAACAGAAAAAAACTGAAACAAAAATATCAACTTTACAAGAGAAGATTGTAAATTGAAACAAAAATATCAACGATAGTACCACACTACCAATTGAAGTCATTAAATTAAATTAAGATTTACATTCATTGTTGTGTGAAAATTAATAACACTAGTACTGATCCAGGAAGTAACATCTAGAAGTTAGCAAGTACACCTTTTCCTTTCCCCTTTGCAATGTGATGCATAAATGTTATACACGTTTTAAACAAATACATGGGATATCTTTTTGTCAACAAAGGTTTAAACCGATATACATGTATGTTTTAATGTTATCCTAGCAGATGTTTAAACATATGCATAACTAATTTCCTAAAAATAATTAATTAATTAAATGAATTATAAAGAATTCACTTTCAAATTGCATATTCTTAGCTCAAAGAAGTGTAAAAGAAACAAAGCATGAAAGAATCTCACTGAAATTATACGCTTGCAGTCAGGCAAGAAGATGACACCCGTAACAATTTCAGCATGCCCTGTGGCCTTCGCAACCATCTCTCCGGTGACGAAGTCATATATGCAGATAGACTTGTTAGAGAATGAGCAGACCACATAAGTGCAGCTTGGATCCATTATAACCTGTTAACAACATTGGCTCTTGGTAAAGAAGGATGACATCAGCAACAGTCTTCTAATGATGAACTCACCTTTATAGGTTCTCCAAAATTTTTATCATGATTATACGTCCTAATTAGTTTCCGAGCAGCCATGTCAAACATTTTTATCTTCTTATCCTATCAGTATGGTAACACATTAGTAATAGTAACTAAAGCACTGAATCTGCAAATTGTGAGTGATAATTTTGTCAAATAGATACATGCACAGAACTACGTGGACTAATTGTTTTAGAATTCACTTGGAAGGTCTTCCACAACAGGCAACCCTCCCTTGAATTTTGATGAGTCTCACGGTTCAAAAACATCTACTTCACCTGCCCAACAGTGACAACAGTCTGACATGTCAAATCCACAGCCATGTCATAGACAGTTCCACGCTGTAAAGCCCTTTGACGATGTTGCTGCGAAATTTTATAACCATTATCTGCTATCACCACATCACGAAGCACCAGGAAACTGAAAGAAGCATTATGTTATTGTCAATCATAAAGGAAATCATTCAATGTCATACAAATAATGTTGGGTTCACTGGTTATTGTATTACAGAAAATAATTTGAAAAACAGAAATGTGATGACCACATAGAATAAGCACATAATAATCAAATGGTAAAACTTAATAAAAAATGACTTATTCTATATAAATTTGTTGGCATTCCCATTCAAAGCATACACTAGCTCAAACTGCAGATTATATGGGTCTGCATTTGGCATCTATGAGAACTTTTTTCATACAGAACAGAATTCAAAAATTAGCAAGAAATTAATTAATGGTTCAAATGGTTTTTCTTTAAAATAACATTATGATGAGAGCAAATGATATTTCATAATTTTTTAGAATATGCTGCAATAGAAACTTTTTGAACACGAGTGTATAAATTACTTTTCACTTTCTATCTCAGCTTTATTTTTAAAGGGGTTAGATTTACTTTCAGATCAACAGAAAATTATAATCCTAATGTTCTTGTCGTTACAAAATACAACTAAGTATAAATTTTGATATTATCACATGTCACACATTACGTATGTAAAATTGATGAAAAATTTAGAACATGAAGTGCATTGGTCCAATATATGGCAGGCAGGCTAAACAAACCAATTAAAAGTTGCCTGAATTTTAAAGTACATAACCAGCCAACCTATCAGCTATTGCATTATTGATATAAGTCACTAAGTAGACAAATACAGAAAAGAACTGTAATTTGCTTTGGTTTCAATGAATGTATTTCAGGTACATTTTGACTCCAGTCCAATAATACTTGTAAATTGGAAGGCACTGCTAGACAGTATTTCCAAATTTCAGTCATTAGCCGTAAGGGATTGGTAATGCTTAAATAAATGTATTAAAAATTTTCTCAAGCAGAATCAGAACCTTAAGGTGGAAATGTTCAGTTTTCTATTATTCCCAATTGTTAAGCATTTTTTTTTTGTTTCTAATTTGTTTGATGTTGTGATGCTAAATCTCTACTACCATACCTATCAGCACTACAACTGAGGATCCTGCAACCATTGCTGCTAATTTTGATAGAGGTCACTGCAGCCGAATGATCATCAATGCTGTCAATGAGATCAAAATTTCTGCACATACAATCAAAAAGCCATTAAAATACATAATCGACTAACTAGTTTATCCTTAAAAATTGCATAAGCACACCTTTTCACATCATAGAGATGGATCATACAATCTCTTCCCCCAGAAGCAAGAAAGTAATTGTTTTTGGCAATTTCCTTTGATACATCTAGGGTGGACAAGGTAAAGCTTAATGTAAGAATCTCTGCATCATGAGCCCCCTGAAATAATGTGCAGGATATAAATGACCATAAAAATAATTTGTCAACCCTCAAATATGGTTTTACTACATAATAATTTCAAAAATAAACTCGCCTGAACTCACCTGGAAACATAAGTAATCTGGTGTTTGAAGGTTGTATATATGAAGGTTCCCTTTGCTATCACCAGCAGCAAGATAATTTCCATCTGAACTAACAGCAAGTGATCGAAACTCTTGATTGGTAAGAACTGCCTTAACTGCATCTCGTTCAAATGTCCCAGCAGTTACTGCCGCAGTAGACAGGAAGAACACAACTTTGTGAGAAATAAATAAATTAAAGAGGAGAATTGTGAATATTTTTCCAACAATCTTGACTTACCTAAACATTTAGAATTCAATCGTTCAGTCTTCAACTCTTGAGCATCTTTTGAAATATCAGATTGCAAAGCAATATCCCATATCCTAATTGTACCATCGGCAGAGCAAGTTGCAAAAGAAATCCCCCCCAAACAACCTCTAGCAGTGCATGCAAGAGATGGATCATGCAAGTTTTCGCAACACAAATTTTTGATATCCCATATGCACGAGGAATGTGAAACTAGCATAAAACACTTTGTGACCTGGAAATATCAACAATTTTTTTCGCATTAACCATTGATAAATTTGTACAACACCTTATGGTCTAGAAAATACGAGGGAAAAAGCCTGCTGCATCATCCAGTAATTTACAAGAAAAAGACTTGAGTAGCAAGAATCTAATTAATCTATCATGAATATCTAACAAATTTTATCAAAATTGAAAATCATTACAGAAGGAAATATCTGAATGTTATGTTGTATGTTCACCCAAGTCGTTTATAATCACGTATTAGGGACTTAGGGTACAACAGGATCAGTCATAAATACATAAGAGTAAATCAAATCCCTAATTTGTGGTATCTGCATCCTTAATTTCTAGCAAAAACTATTTACATATTTAACGTGTGTTACATATGCCAACTAACAATCATAATGACAAACTTATCAAATAAAGCATTTACCTGATTCACATCATGGATGTCATAGATGCAGAGACTATGATCTCCATAAATAACCGCTGCAGGAAAAAACATAGAGAATACATCAATGCACAACACAAGATTGCGTTTCATACAATTAACAAAAGTTGAAGATTTAGCTGTCACCAATCTTTTCTAAGGCTGAAAACTGACAAGCAACTGCATCAGGCAGGGAAGGCAACTGTTCAAAATCCTGTTCAGGTACTGTAGTATGGCTAACAGAATTGGTTTCTTCATGAAACTTGTTGGTCTTTGAATATAATATACTACCCACATATTCTAGAGAGATGGGGGTATATAATTGGACTGCTCCATTATTGCATGCACAAGCAATTAACTTTCGTGATGTTGATAATGCAAAAGCTTTTCGAACCTGAAAATGAGGATTTCGGAATTGTGAAAAATTGCAAAGAACTAACAGTTCAACACAAGAATAATTCCTCTATCAAGTACCAACTCATAATCAAATTTAAACTAGTACAGTTCATAATGGCATGATCAACTCTACTTTATGAGTTTGTCAACGTAGAAACTAAAAGCAATATAAGAATGTTTAAACTTGTAGTTAGAACACCATTTACTTCTACATGGAAAAAATAATTTAAGTCTCTACAGGTCAGTTACAACTTAACATTTCATTCATCAAGATTTCCTCTTTGGAATACCTTTGGCAAGCTCAAGTACATTAGAAAAATGATAAAGAGTTACACATACCTTCAGGGTCACAGACTTTTCAACCGAGATCCTGGAATTAATAAGGTATAGAATGCCTGTAAACAAAAGGAAAATGAATAAGGTGAAAAATGCCAGAAAACAGAAAGAAATGAAATTTAACTAATAGCCAACACATCATGTCAATCCAAGAAACATGAATGCCTCAAATCTATAAATAAATAATATAAATCTTAGACTCTCTTGAACTAAACCAAACCTGAATCAGTCAATGTATATACGGGAAAGCAATCACCAGCTTGTTTACAATTATCATGGCCACTACAGCCCCACATAGAAGTGATAGATGTAAAAGAGCTTCCTTTATGAACAGAAAGATTGGCAGGCTTTTCATATATTGTTAATGATGTTGTCCTGCTCATCCCTCTATTTAGCTGAGTCTTTCTAGAAGATCCAAGCATCCAGAACTTCAAGTGCTTCTTCCCAGCAGTTACAAAAAACTTTGCATCTGATGAGAAGCTAACACTTGAAATAGTAGAACAAGATGAAGTTGCTTGAAGCTTTGTTACCAGCTCACCACTTCGCCAGTCCCAAAGGTAAATGCATCCCCCAACAGATACCAGATGTTTACCTTGGACATAATACTATATAATGAGTAAGAAGCAGTGAGTAATAAAATTTAAGGCAAGCATATGGCTTGATAAAGTGTAACCAACCATTGGGTGAGAGACAGATGCATGCAACTCCATGTAGATGACCTTTCAATTCAGAGACAACAGATAAAGTAAAAGAATCCCATACTAGTACTGATGATTGGTTTCCTGCCTGCAAAACAATGAAGCCATTATGTGTTATTCAGATATTCCCAATCAATCTTTTTCATATCCATACTAGTACTAATGAGGAATGCTCCACATGCATTAATCAAGTTCATTTAATGAAGATATAACTATGAAAAAGATATTTTTACCGCTATACCTCAACTTTGTATAATTCTAATCATAATGGTTATTAAACTATTTTGGAAAAAGTTCAACATTCACCCACTAGTTTGCCTTACCTGTAAGCCTATAACCAATTCACCCATGAACCATATAGACTCAGAACAGATCAATACCTAGCCTCTTACATATGCACCATTGCAATTACAAAGCATCATCTTATCTATTATGTTTCAATTTTGTAAAATTGGTAAAATATATGATTTTTTTACAAATGAAATTAGTAATTACAACAAGAAAAATCATAAACACAATAGCATCCTTTATGCTTTGTTTGGATTAGAATTAAAATAAAAAGGATAGAAGTAAAGAAAAATAGAATAAAAAAGATGTGTTGTTTGGATGGATAGAAATATGGAAAGTGGAGAAATTTCTCTCCACTTGTTTGAATGAGAGGATTAAAAAGTGGAAATAAACAAATAAATTGCATGAAATGTTTTTGTACACAATTATTTTTTATTTATGTAGTTACTTTTATTAAAATTTAAAATAAAATATATATATATATATATACAATTTTTAAAATTATAATTACTATTCAAGTATTTTTCATTAAAAAGTATTTGACTAATAATTATTTAATTTTGAATATTTTAATTAATAATATATTTAAAATTTACATGTCAAAGTTTATATATATATATGTGTGTGTGTGTGTGTGTCAATAAATATTATATAATTCTAATATATATTTTTCATGATAAAATTACATTTCTTTATATATAGAGAGAGTTTATCCTATCTTATCACTTTCTAGCCTAGTTTTCCCTTCATGATAGGAAATTCACTGGACTAACATGATAGGAAATGTGGTAGGATAATGTTATCATATTTTATTGGCGCAACAAACCACGAATTACAACATAATAGAAAAATTATCATATTTTATCCCATCATATCCTCACCACCAAAAGGATCTAAAATGTATTATTAGAGAAGAGACTAGAATAATAAATACTTTTATTATTCTTGTACTAATATTGTATATTTTCTGTTTTCTGTTAGTACTGCCAACTCATCAAGTTGGTTAGGTTTGTTAGCCCTATATATGTAACTGATATCCTTCAGATATCACTACTGTTATTTCTCTAATAATACACAAATTATTCTCTGCCTACTCTCTCTCTTAATTCTCTGTTTCTTATTGATTTTCTATCTCTTATATGGTATCATCGTGAGCTCGGTACGATCCTAATTCCTTGTCTGGTTGATTGATTCGTGTGGCTTGCTTCGTGCGCCCTCCCTCACCTTGCGCGATTCTGCTATCCGCGCTTGTGATTCCTTCTGCGATTCTGTTTCTGCGCCCGTAATCTTGATTCTTCGTGTGGCTTGCTTCCTGCGCACTTTTCTGGGTAACCCTGTCTTTCCTTGTGCTAATCCTGTTCGTAGTGTTTAATTTCTCTGTCTGGCCTCCGCTTCCGCAATGTCCAGCAATTCTGTTTCCCACACCTTCTCCCAATCCGTCACATGTAAACTGGATGAAAGAAATTTTATGACCTGGCAGCAACAAGTTACAGCTGTCATCCGTGCCCATGATCTTGAACGCTTTGTCGTCAACCCCAAAATTCCCTTGAAGTTCCTTACCCCTGAGGATCGTGATGCTAATCTTGTTAATCCGGAGTATACTGCCTGGGACCGCAAAGATTCGCTGTTGGTTTCTTGGCTTCTTGCAACCCTATCTGAATCCATCCAAGCCCGTGTTGTCTCGTGCCGTCATTCCTACCAGATTTGGGATTTAGTTTTTCAGCATTTTCAGTCCCTCACCAAGATCAAAGCCACGCAATTACGACTAGAGCTTCGCACCATCAAGAAAGGAACAAGATCGTGTTCTGACTACCTCCTTCGCATTAGCACCATCGTTGAGACCCTTGCCTCTATTGGCAGTCCCATTTCACCTCGTGAACATGCTGAGTGTATTCTTGGGGGTCTTCCACCAGAATATGATTCCCTAATCTCCACTGTCACTGCATTTGTCAGCCGTGATGATCATTTTTCCCCTGCCGAACTTGAGACCATGATTCTTGCTCAGGAAGCAAGACTATTTACATGTCAAAGTTTATATATATATATGTGTGTGTGTGTGTGTGTCAATAAATATTATATAATTCTAATATATATTTTTCATGATAAAATTACATTTCTTTATATATAGAGAGAGTTTATCCTATCTTATCACTTTCTAGCCTAGTTTTCCCTTCATGATAGGAAATTCACTGGACTAACATGATAGGAAATGTGGTAGGATAATGTTATCATATTTTATTGGCGCAACAAACCACGAATTACAACATAATAGAAAAATTATCATATTTTATCCCATCATATCCTCACCACCAAAAGGATCTAAAATGTATTATTAGAGAAGAGACTAGAATAATAAATACTTTTATTATTCTCCATATTTGAAGATTCAATAAAGCTTGTTGAAGAGGTATTTCAATCAATTTTCTTCTCTTCCTTTTATTCCTCATCCTTATCTTTTTTTTTGTTATAATAAACATCATAATGTAGATATTTTAGGGTTAATCGCTTAATTTATATTTTAAGCATGTAAATAAACATTAATAAAGGGGATTCAATATTTAATTTATTAATTTTTATCATGTTAATTTCATCATAGGGTACCAATTAAAGGCGTTGTAGGGGTGCTTAATACCTTCCCTACACGTAACCAACTATCTTCATAGATATTATATTATTAAATATATAATTTAAAATTAATAATATACTATAAAAGTTATTTAAGTTGTATATATTACAAATAAATACATTAGAACAAGTAGTCATTGTTATATTTAATAAGACTCTTTGCTCTTCTATTAAGAGATTCAATTTTCATTATTACTTTTGTGGTTTATGGTCCCTTAAAAAAATTTAAAAAAAAAAGAAAAAAAAGTGGTTGAACCGATTTGACCCACCGGTTCACTGGTTGAACCGAAAAATTGATCGGTTCAATCCGGTTTGAAACAGGTCGACTGCATAACCGATCCAACTTAAGATTCGAACCGCTGAACCACCGGTTCCCGGTCCAACCGGTCTGACCGGCCGGTTCGATCCGAGTTTTAAATCACTGCATATTATGTAATTGGTAACCTCTAACTAAGTCTTATTAGGATCTAAGCCTATCACTATTAACATAAATAGTATCGTATATCGAGGTAAAGTCATTGTTCATAATATACTCGTGTTTATTACATCGAGTGAGTTTCTTACTTTAGTGTCAGAGTGTCATTTATAGGTACATCCCACCTCGACATTGTAAGAAGGCCGACTGGGAGAGTAAAAGAAGTGAAGGAATTAGAGAGATAAATTTTTTTATTTATTATCATTAAAACTTAAGAGATCCAAAATCATTTTTTGACTAAACATATACCTTACCCAAGTTACATTGTCAACTCAAGATGATGATGTCCCATGCTACATTTTCCCAACATCCCTCAAAGGCCAAGCCCTCAATTGTTTCACCAGACTCTTGATTGAATCACATGACTCTTTCACCAGACTCTCGATTGAATCACAGAACTCTTTCACATGAATGAATTAAGAAGGAAAGTCATAGCAAAAACAAGGTTTAAGAAGCACCACTAATCGATGAAAGAGAATTCTTTGGCAAAGAAAAGGAAAACTTGTAGTAAACAAGGACAACCCTTTTCATGTTCGGCAAAACCTCAAGAATAGAGCCTACAAGTTAGAAGAATTCTTGAGCAGATCAATACCAAACATGGAACTCAACTTATTTCAAGATATATTACAATTGATGTATAAATTCATGTAATGTGCACTATTTTCCTCACCGATTTTTTTTCCTAAAAGAATGTAAAAAAGTTTTGGTCGAAAAGGTTTTTAACAAGATACTCAAGTACATTTAATGAGAAGATTGCAAGTATACTCAATTCAGCCACATCATAATTTCTTTATTTTCAATTTCCTAGTAGCTTATAACAAAATTTTACAAGGGTTTCCTTACATGTTCTCACTTAAGAAATAGGTATATCCTTCAACGTTAGTTGCAAAAGTTTATTACAAGGTTTCCCTTTCGTGTCTCCACTCAACCAAGGATGTACATTTGATGTTTTTAATTAAAAAATCATTAAATGGTTTCCCTCTTGAATCTCCATCGACCAATGATGTACCTTCGACATTTTTTGTTGCAAAATTTATTAAAGGTTTCCCTCCTAAGTTTCCAATTATCCAAGGATGTACCTTCAACATTTTTTGTTGCAAATTTTATTACAAGGTTTCCTTCCCAAGTCTCCACTCAACCAAGGATATAACTTTGGTGTTTCTTGTTGCAAATTTTATTACAAGGTTTCCCTTCTGAGTCTCCACTCAGCTAAGGATGTACCTTTGGCATTTCTTGTTGCAAAATTTATTATAAAGCTTCCCTCCCAAGTCTCCACTTGGCCAAGGATGGATTTTCAATGTTTCTTGTAGAAACTTTTATTACAAGGTTTCCTTCCCAAATCTCCACTCAACCAAGGATGTACCTTTGGTGTTTCTTGTTACAAAATTTATTACAAGGTTTTTCTATCAAGTCTCCACTCAGCCAAGGATGTACCTTTGACATTTCTTGTTGCAAATTTAGTACAAGATTGTCCTCCTAAGTCTTTACTTGACAAAGGATGTACCTTTAACATTTTTTATTGAAAAATTTATTACAAGGTTTCCCTCTCGATCGAGTCTCCACTCGGTCAAGGATGTACCTTTAACATTTCTTGTTGAACATGTTATTATAAGGTTTCCCTCTTGAGTCTCCACTCGAATAAAGAAGTATCTATGAAGTTTTTTCTTGCAAAATTCATTACAAAATTTTTCGATGATCAT